TTCCCCAATATTTTCTGTGTAAATCCATAGTAAATATTTTTGACATCACTGATGGGTGACAGTTTTGTCTGATAACTGGGTCATAAAGCAAAGGCTATGGGCCTGTCCTCAGACAGATGCAAGGGTAATGCTAAGCAGAGCAAGAATGAGCTATTCCTGTAATAACTGTACAGTGTTCTAGAGCAGCTCAGTGCTACAATCAAAATAGCAATGTCTTTTAAAACTGTGATTCTTAATCTTTTTCTCTGTCTCTAGAAACTAACTAGGTGTGAGAATTTTGATGAACGCTTCAATGTAATTTTATGTAATTTGATGTTGCCATATAAATCTCTTTTATAGGTCCCTTTAGATGGAATTTAATGCGGCAAAAACCTTGTCATCAGAAGGATTAATGCCTGCATTAGCATTTCCGCAATAAAATCGGAAGCTAAATGGTGGAGGCGACAGACACCTCAAACCTGGATTGCTCTGCTCTGCATTAAGTGCTGGAGTTTTTATTGCTTGCTGTAGGGAAGCTGTTGCCAATGCTTACAAGGAACTGCTTATCCCTGCTTCTCTGGGTCCTGTTTGATGGAGGTCTCCTAACGCCACTGCATCCACAACCACAACAGACTTTAGAAGCAGAGCCAACAGAAAATGTTGTCCCAGTGCCAGGGAGGAGGTCATCTGCCCAGCGAGTCAAACGAGGCTGGGTGTGGAATCAATTTTTTGTGCTGGAGGAGTACATGGGCTCCGAACCTCAGTATGTGGGAAAGGTAATTTTTCACCCTTTCTTTAAAAGCTGAAATGACACAGACAGATATTAAAATGTGCTATATATGTGTACCTTTTTCTGGTGGGGCAAATCTCCTTCAACTGTCAGTGCTTCCCTCTGTTTATCCCCTTCACCATTCAGCCTCATATAGTTATTTTTACTTTTAGTGCACAAGTTTATAACATCTACTTTCTACCTTTGTAAGTTTTGTCTTATTTCCTTATCCTTGGTTTTGGAATGAAACAAGAAAAAAAATAGAAGGGAATTCTGAGATAAGTTTGTGGTGCACAACTAACTTTAATTGAATCTACTGTAGTAGCATACTTGATTTTTAGCAATGAATGTCAGGCTGATATCAGAGATAAGATTTAAACCAGAAATGTTTATCCCAGAATTCACAGTCATTTCTGTGATTGGTATCGTTAATCCAATTCAGTTTTCAGCTAACGAAGATACTTGCTTTTTGCTCTGTTATCTTATGCCTCAGTATCATTTGCTTTTATTTCTGATTGTTCAGATTGTTTTCAGGTATTTCTAATATGTTTTATTGCTTCATAATTCAAACTCTTGCATTATAGCTTTTATACTGTGTGCAGACACTCACACTTACACATGCAGAGAGTGTTTGCAATTCTCTCTCTCATTATATGACCACAGTTTCTGTAATAGGGCATAAGTAATTCCATAACCAACTGTTCAAGGGGTGTGGGGGGTGAATTTAGAAAATCGAGTTTTCAGAAAGGAAAGCTGAAAACAAGACATGAAAAAAATAGGAGCACAGTACATAACTGCATGCTCTGTATAATTTTCAGTGTTAGTAAAAAATGCTACTCAATGAACATAAGAGGTCAGGGATTCATTTCCTGCATCCCCTAAATGCCACTTCCCTAGACAGTGAGGTTCAAATTCACCTACCATAAAAATGAGGCATCATGCTTCAGTTTTTACTTTAATACTGTGTTTTAACTTCTTTTAATGTAAAAGCTGAGAATGGGGGGAGGGGTTGTGTTTCTAAATACAAATAAAATTTGCAGAAAATTAATTTTCCCTTTTACCCTTCCAGGAAACTATTCAAAGTAGAGGATGTATAAATAAACCAGCAAAAGACTACATGTGGTTCACTGGATGATTTGATAACAAAAAATGTACTTGGATATTAGACATGTAGGTATTAGTGTTAAGCACTAAAACATATTAGTCAAAACATTTTAGAAAGCTTATATCACAAAGGTAACCTAATAAGTTTGTTTCACAGTCTGAAGAGAGGGGGATCACATAAAGAGAAATTGCATCTTTCTGACATCTGGTTGATACAAAATACACTTTCTCTAATGCATATCTTTGTTCTGTCCACTTGCTAAAAATGCAGACGAAGACTCTATTCACATTTGATGCTGTAGCACAGGCAACACCATTGCTCTTTTTACCTCAGAAGACAGATGTTATTGCTACACTACTGCAATTCATTAGTCATTATTCCTTTATGTAAGATAGCCTGGGTAATCATTTAAGGTCAGTTCTAAGCTGCCAAAATAATACTAAGTTTGCACAAAAATTACTGTTATCAAAACATTTGAATTTGTGCTTATAATCAACTTCAGAACTAATGGAATATTTTCATTAAGAGGAACATCACAGATTTACCTGGGATGGTTTTTAACTCTTAAGACTTTTTTTAACTGTTACAAGTTGCAGAAAAGACACTTTTCAAATATGAGGAGAGATGTAATTGCAACGCAGCACATGCAATTGTCATGTTTCTTCACAGGATATCATATACTACTGTTACCTAATAAATAAAATATGGAAGCATCTTGGTGGTGAAACACAAAATAAATTAGGATGTTTAATTAGTGCATCAGTAACATTAAGTAAAAAAATATGCTTCCAGAATAATGCACTTCATTCCAGGTGAGCATTTTTTTCAACAATGGCTATTCCCTGCTAAGCATCCTTTTGATGTTTATTATAATTATTTTATCTATATTAACTATTTGCTTCTATATAGCTGAAAAATAACCTGCCAGTTTTTGCATGTCATCTTTTCCTAAACTCTTTAAAAAAAAAAAAAAAACCAAAATCAAAACCAAAAACCAAGATGGAGATCTTCATGTTTTCCCCTTATTTTCCACAAAGCTCTCAAAGATAGAGCACTAAACAGGGGAAGTTCTTTAGAGAAATTGTGCTTTCAAATCCAGATAGTGAAAGCCATGCTTAATATAAATTCAAACCATTGTCAACATACTGAAATACACTCAACAGTGGCTAATCAATATCTTTAGATCTCATGTAATTTTTTAAAAACACAGAAAATTTTTAAGATATGAAATGCAATTGAGTTCTTGATTGATCGCAGAAATAAATTTTGTTTATATTTGCCATAATTTAGTTTTATTCCAAAATAATATATTTTCAACGTAATACTTTTTGTAGTGCTACTGTGCCTTATTTTAAAGTGATATTAAGTATATGATAGTGCAGGGTATTTCACATGACCTGAAATTACAGGGATTTTATCATCTTCTTCCAGCCATCATAGCCAGACACAATATAGTGACATGTGCATCAGCATTTATATCACTTATAAAATTGCTGCACTAATAATGTCACAGTAATTTATAAATAAGAATTTAATGTGTCTATTAAATCAGCTTACAATTTCACTTAACAGTTAGGTGTGACTAGTTAATTTTTGAAGCCATCCGTAAGAGAACACAGATTTACAGCAGTAATGTCAGCTGTTATCAGCCAACGCACTTAATTCCCTTTATGTCTGTTTTTAGAAGACTATCTCAAGAAGTGTCAGGTTGCAAATCAAAATATAGTTTAGAAACTGATGCGAGTAGTGTAGCTCACAGTTAGAGATCTTGAAATAGTACTTCATGTAGAAGCCATTTAACCTGAATATGAAATAAAAGTTTGGAAATCCTCTGTTTGCGTAATATGGAAGAGCCATAAAAATCCATCATGTTACCAAACAAAAGATAGCTCCCTTTAGTAGAGATAAGTGGGATGAGTGGCTTGAGAGCAGCCCTGTGGAGAAGGATTTGGTGGTACTGATGGACAAAAAGCTGGACGCACCCGCACCCTGGGCTGCGTCAAGAGAAGCATGGCCAGCAGGTCGAGGGAGGTGATTCTGCCCCTCTACTCTGCTCTGCTGAGACCCCACCTGGAGGAGTCATCAGGACAGGAAAGATGTGGACCTGTTGGAGTGGGTCCAGAGGAGGGCCACAAAAATGGTCAGAGGGCTGGAGCACCTCTCATATGAGGAAAGGCTGAGAAAGTTGGGGTTGAGAAGAGAAGGCTTCAGCAGACCTTATTGCAGTCTTTCAGTACTTAAAGGGGGCTTATGAGAAATATAGAGTCAAACCTTTTAGCAGTGCCTGTTGTGATAGGACAAGAGGTAATTGTTTTAAACTAAAAGATTCAGACTAGGAGGAAGAATTTTTTTTACAGTGAGGGTGGTTAGACACTGGAACAGGTTTCCCAGAGAGGTGGTAGATGCTCCATCCCTGGAAACATTCAAGGTGAGGTTGCGCGCAGCTCCTCCAACCCAAGCTATTCTCTGATTCTATGATTGATTCTGTGATTCTATGATTCTGTGTAAGCAGACCTGGGATAAAAAGCAAAGTTGGAATATGGTGTTGCCATGTGACCCATGAAAATTGAAAGGATGCTGGAAGGCTTACTGTAAAATAAGGCTTGCTCATGTACTTTGCTGTGCGTTGTCTTCCTGGTTCTGTGAAGCTCTGGAAGGCCATGCACATGTGTGGATTAAGATAAAAAAGTTCATGCTTCTTTTCTTGCGCCAAAGCTCAGTCCCCACTGAATGGTGATAGAAATCATCATAATATCAGATCCTCAAGCATGGCTGTGTCCCACCACAGTTTATAACCACTAACAAGGTAGCCCTTATGCAGGGGTAGATCAAGTGGGTGCAACCCCACCAGAACATTATAAATCTTGCTGTAACCTTTATTGTTGTGTTTCAATAGTGACATGTAGAGGCAGCCTTAATGAAATTAAAGTTCAAGAGAACAAAATAGATGAGAACAGTATAGGTTCTTCATTATCAAGATAATATTTAAAAAGTTTTTAGTTGATATACAGGTATAATGCTTCCATTTATTTATGTGTGTCTGTGTTCCTAGTGTGTAAATGCATTACATCTTTCTCATATTGTTCACCTGCACAGTTGCTCTTAGTAAGGATTTTTGCTGGTTATCCTCAAGCTTGCAGAGGCAGGCAGGTGGCAACTTGTACTGAACAAAGAATGCGTGCATAGGAAAAGATTGCAAAGTCCTTTTCGAGGTAATGGTCATTTTCCTTCTGTTTTCCAGTGTGCAACAACTAAATATGCTCAGCTTGCCAGATATTACCTTGCTAATGAATAACCTATATGCAACATTTTGTTCTTTAAACCTCTGTTACGTTATACATGCTCATGTACAAACTACTATGCATTTTTTTTTATGATCCCCACAAGCTGAAAAATGTAATAGATGCGACTGCCCTATGGCAGTATAGGGTGCTCGTTGCAATATGGTGTTTTTCATCTGATTCACTCTTGAGGGAAAGCCTCATCATCTTCAGAGGTTTCACAATATATCAAAGCAGAAATGGTGCTGACTTGGAGGAAGCAGAGCTCTATATCTGTGACCAGATCAGAGTGCTTTTCTGAAATCCAATAATTTATCCTCTGCATTTGAAAAATGAGCATAGAACATATTTATGCATTTTGTAGTGGATAGTTTTTAATATAATGAAATTAATGTTGACCACCTTCCATCAGGCTTAAATCAACACTTCATTCTGAAAGCACACTCAGATTTTACAGTTATTTTCCCACTCAAGGAAGTGTCTGGATGACAGCACAGTCTGTGAAGGACATTTTGGACTGCTTGTGCAGAAGCTGTTTGCAGACAAATGAATTTATAGTGCTGCAGCTATCATTTTGGTGTTATTCACAAGAACTGAGTTAAGTTGAAAGAAAAGGTAAAA